TGTGTGTGTGTGTGTGTGTGTGTGTGTGTGTGTGTGTGTGTGTGTGTCACAGTGCACCTGTGGAGGCCAGAGGATAACTTTCAGGGGTCAGTTCTCTCCTTTCACCGCGTCTCTGGGATATGGTGAAACTCAGGTCTTTCGTCTTGGCAGCAAGTGCCTTTACCCACTGAGACTTTTCGCCTGCCCCTTGGTCTGTTGTAAAGGAGCTCACAGCACATTTTTTTTTTCTATCTTCTCTCTCTCCCTTTGGTTTTTCGAGACAGGATTTCTATGTGCAGCCTTGACAGCCCTGGACTCACTCTGTAGACCAGGCTGGCCTCAAAGTCACAGAGATCTGCCTGCCTCTGCCTCCCTGAGCGCTCGGATTACATGTATGCGCCGCTGTGCCCAGATAAGCTCATGGCGCCTTTCAACACAAGCAGATCAGTCACAGAATAAAGAGTTATAGCAAATGTGGCATTAATAATAATACAGTGCGTTTTCCCTTTTCCTCCATGGAGTACACATACACGCAATTAAAGGGCAAATTATGCCTGTTTCAAACCATGTTTGTAGATACTCATGGGCTTCTATGGTAAATCCTCTTAGGATGTTGTCTTGGTCTGGCTGTATAGAACATGCGGTCTTTGTTTGTTTGTTTGTTTTACAAGGATGATGATCAGTTATTCCCTCAAACGATAGCCTACAACTTTAGAAAATTCTTCTCATTATGATAGACAGGCAATAACCCATCCCTAAAAACAAACAAACAAACAAACAAACAAACAAACCAACCTCTGTTGCTTTATGCTCAACAATAGTATGTGTTAGCTGAGCCTAGGGGTTAACTTATGCCTGAAGAAGAGAATACAGTTAGCTGGGCTGTGTGGGATTGGATGTAGCAGGTCAGTCTTATCGGCAGCAGCTCAGACCAACTGAGCTAACTGGTTCTGACTCCTCCTCCCACAGGTAATTATATTATCATCTCATTTATCAGTAAATGAAATAAAAATCTAGTTTACTTAGTCAGAATGTTTTCAATACTACTATATGGTAATAAATTATGTACACAGCATGACCTTTAATGTGCCGTAAGTTCTCGGAAAACATTGACTTTTGATTGGCATAATTTTAGAAGTGAAGCTACTTCATTAAATATATGTATGTTCACATTTGCTCTAGGGTATTTTTTAAATGTAAAAAAATGGTTCCTGGGCCTGAATTTGTAGTTAAAAGATTTCCTGAACAATTATAGATTAAAGGAGATTTTGATCTGTGTGTAAGGAGAGCCTCACAGAGAAAGGTGTTACGACACAGGATTCTTCTGGTTACGGTAGCTACACTAACAGGAGCAAAAACATAGACTTTGGATCCAAGGCCTATACTCCACATCTTTACCTTGCTCAGAATGCGGATGAGGTCACCCCGTTGGAAGGACAGTTCATCTGGCTGGTCACCATGGCAATCCCATAGGCCCTGGTAATAATTGGCATAGTCCACTAATCAAAGAGAAGAGAGAGCAAAGATAAAAGGAGTCAGTTTGGCTGCAAATGGAAACCAGGGTTCTGATACAGCCTCTAGGAAGCTTAAGATTCAGGGGGCCCCAGATGACAAACACTCGATATGAGCAAAGGACTATGGGAGGAGGAGATCATTAACTCACATGAAATATTTACAGATCACCCCTAGTAGGAATTCTACTCAAACAATATGATAATGGATGTATTTATTAATAGAAGAAAATCAGGCACATAATTTCTCAGTTGGTTTGCAAACAAGCAGCACGAAGATGTTTCCCACTAGACTTTCTTGATCCAGGGCATCTAAACACCCGAGCGTATCACTTTTTTATGCAGCTGAAGAAACAGACCCTCCTGCGAGAGACGGTGGATCAGCCAGCATGCTCCTGCGTCACGCCTCCCATTTTGGCCTCCTGTTACACCGGGGCGCCATCCCAGGCGCTTCCCACCCAGGTACCTCATGAGGTAGTTACCAATAAATGCTGAAATGGATAGCCCAGTCTTTAAGTGGAGCCATGGGGGTGTCTCATCCATTACAACTAAATTCTGGGTGGCCTGGCCCTTTTCCAGCATCTCATTTGTAGACCCTGAACATGTCTGCCAAGATTTATCTGCAAGCCCCCCCGGGGAGCAGAAACCAAAGTGATCTGCATTAAAAATGAAAGCAACTGAAGACACCAAACTAAGCCTTAGAAAGCACTGCCGAGATTTACTGGGCTTCTCAGCCAGACTAGATGGCAATGATGCCACAGGACAGCCATCGATTCTTAACAATGAAGAATTCCTATTGATCCTTTTCTACCCGGAAAGGTTAAACACTAGCTTACAGTGGGAGAACATCTGGGGACTTGAGTGGCAGGAGAGCTAATGTCCACTGGACCAGGGATACTCCTTGTTTCTTAGAACGGTCCATTCGAGAGCTGTGAGCCAAGCACCTGCCAAAGGTGGAATTTGATTGATGGGATTCAGGAGACCTGTGATATAGTTAAACATCTAAGTGATTTTTTTCTTTTTGGCTGGTACAGGTCTGTAACCCCAGCACTTGGGAGGCTGATGCAGGAGGGTTGTGAATTCCAAGCCAGCCCGGCTTTCACTGTGACACTCTTGTCTTGACCATCAAAACGAGAAATGTGTGTGATTTCTGGGGACTCTGTCTTGTGATGCCTACCTTGTCTGAGCTTGTCTGGACCCTCTCACCATGGTTCTAAGGATGCTCATGATGGGAACAGATGGGGAGCAAGCGGTCAGTGGGGCACAGAGGACCTGGCCGTACTTGCTCCCTCCCCAATTTGTTCCTAACGTATGAATAATTCAAGTAACAGAGGCACAGTGGAACAAATCCCCTGTATGTCTTTGCAAAAGACTTTATTAGGCGTATTAAAGCGCACAAAGGCAGAGGACAGACTGACTCATTTGGTTGGGAGCAGATTGCAAATAGAAATAAAAATGTCAACAGCAGAGGCTGGGGCGTGTTCTCTTTGCACAGAAAATTGTCTCCGCAGCAGACAATAGAGGGCAGCAAACAAAACAACTGCCAAGGAAACCTTCTGCCGTCGACTTAAGAATATGTTGGGAAGAAAAATATACTGGGAGAAAACTGCTAACAGTTGAAAAGAGAAAGCATATATTTTTTTGGAGACATCAGTGCATGAAATGATAGAGAAATATCGACCTTGAAAAGCGATGGCAGTTTCCCCAGAGGATATGCTATCCATTCTCAGTTGTAAAGGGAGTTTATAAATCACCCCAAGAGTTTGACTAAGTCTAGGAATGAGAAGCCAATGGACATCAATATTCTTTGTGGATTTGTAGATGGCAGAGGAAAATCATTAAAAAAATTTTTTTTAAAAAAAATAAAAACAGATTTTAAAAAACCCAATCTAGCTACTTATGAATGGTAGAAAGGCTGACAGAGCTGTGTTGGCATTTTCTGGCCTAGTGCATAGTCCCTTTGAGTCTCTGCTCCCCACAGTGTGCTAGGGTAGGAGACAGTTCCTATGGAACCTTATGAGATTCCTACCAGGATTTGACAATGGCGGAGGAAAATCCCCGGGGAAAGACCTAAGCTAAAAGCATAGTACAAACCAGGCACAGTGCTCACACCCATAATCCCGGTGATCAGAAGGCTGAGGCAGGAGGAGTGCTCTGAGTTTGGGGCTAATCTTGGCTGCAAGGTGAGCTCAAGACTAGCTTGGACTACATAGAATGAGAGAGACCCTGTCTCGAAACATAAGAAGCTACGGTACAGGGAGACAGGTTCAATCTGCCATAGAGGGAAGACATGAGCCTTCTAAGTCACAAAGAATACAAAAAGGCCTTGGGTGTTCAGGGACCCAGGAGACAGCCTGCCCAAGGTTAAGGCTGGAGAGACGGCTCAGTGGTTAAGAGCACTGTCTGCTTTTCCAAAGGACTCGGGTTCAATTCCCAGCACGAACACGGTAGCTCATAACTGTCTATAACACAAATTCCAAGGGATCTGACACCTTCACACTAATGCGTGTAAAATAAAATTAAATAAAATATTAAAAAAAAAAAGGATTAAGGACCATGACAAAGACAAAGTTAAGCAGACTGATATGGCTAAAACAGGGACTGTACTCCACTCTATCTAGACAGAGGTATTTCGCTATTAAGGAGATCAATCAGGGAGTCATTTTTTAGCTAGATAAGGTTGGACTCCATATTGCAAGGTCCCTGTTTAACTCGTACGATTCATATTCATACATCCGTGTACAGGCAACTTCATGAATTCATCCCTCGGCATCCGTCACGCCTGGGCACAACACTTGACTGAATACCGGGGACTTGTGCTGGATGCTGGGGGTTCCACACTGGGCACACACAGTCCCTGCTCTCAAGGCTATCCTCAAGCCAGGGAGGCACTGTGGAACAGAATCATCACACCAGTATTCAGGACCACGGCAAGGTCGAGAATGCTGTGTGTAAGAGGGAACTTAGCAGAGTCTTAGGAGTCAGGGGAGGATTCTTTGAAGTTCAGCTGTCTCCACTGACACGCTGAGTGTCACAGAAGGCCCTTGAAATTGGGAAGTGGTTAGGATGAGCAAGACTTCATTCGCGAAGGTCTGTGAGTCTGCAGGGTGAGCTCAGCTGTGCCCTAAGCCAGCTTTTTTGGCTCATCCCCAGACAGGAGAAGGAGAGCAGATGTTGGTTCCTATAGGGGTAGCGGAAGGAGTTAGGAGCCTGAAAGCAGGGCTTGCCTCAGTGGACTGGATTTCGGCTCCGTCAGGTTTCCACCACACTGGCAACAGCCTAAGTCAGAAATGATGCAATCTTCTGACCAGTTAATTAATTCAAAACATCCTCACTCTCATTTTGAGGACATTATTCCATCTAATTATTTTTTTTTTCCAGTCTGTCCATTTGGAATGAAAAACAAAAGAATAAAGCTTAATGCCAGCATTTCTCAATGTCTCTCCAAAACCACGTAACTCTGCACTAAATAAAGCCTGGTAATTCAAAAGCAAAAGCTCTAATATATTCAGCATAAAACAGACAGAGGACCCAGAGCAATAATGACAACACTAATAACTAAAACAGTTATAACAATTAACAACAATTACAATGATAGGGAAGCTAATGGCTATGATCACTGCATTTAAATTGCTAGCAAAGCTGGGAAGGAGTTTTTCTAGAGAAAATGGAGGGGGGGGGCGGGGAGTGTGTCTTATTCTTTCTGATCCCACGCAAGGGAGGCTGAGATTCGAGCGAACGAAGTGTCGCAGGGAATTGTTCTTCTCTTTTTCAGGTGCTCATGAGGAATCGTACGCCATTGCACACCTGATTCTTTGTGACCTGTGACTAGGCATCTCCTCTGCGATGAAGTCTGGGCTGGCCTTACTAGCTAGTGACAGAGCCAACAGGCCAGGACACCGATCTGGCTTTCCTTGTCCTCTACAGAGGATGACTGTTCCCCAAGAGTTTAGCTGATGTTGGGGGACGTTGGGTAGCTCCAGAGTTCAAGTTGTGGCCAGGGAAAAGAGGCTCAAGGCAGTTTAGGGTGCTATTTCCATTTCCCTGAGGAGGAAAGGGGCTGTGTCAGTGAGGGCTGGTGTTAGGCACAGCCGTTTAAATTAGGGACAGCAGACAAAACCTGGAAAACAAACCTACCAGAGCAGGGCCCAGTGAGAGCTGGACCAAAGACTCTGTGGCTTGGAATGCTCTAGCCTGAGCCAAGCCAGGCAGGGCCGCCATGTTGAGCACGCTCAAAGCCGACGCCCACTGCCACTTCCGGAACCGTTTCAGAGGCTTGAAGAAACTCACCAGGCACCACCCACTGTGGCACCAGGGCAGGAACGGTAGCTTTTTTGCTCATTTTCAACACCATTTGCTTACGTTCAAGCCCATTTCATCTTGAGTTATGGAATTATTATGCCCCTTAATTTTGCTAAGTATGATTTATACATGGGGAGCGATCGCAGGTCCTGATTCTCACCTCATCTGTTCCCGTCTTACTGGGATAAAATGTTAGCTACGTGATGCTCCGCTCATGGTTGCTCCTGGAAAAACCAAGGGTAAGAGCTGCAGGAGCCTGTGTCCTCCCTTTTATGTGGCGCAGGAGTTTTCTGTGGGTAGGCACCACAGTGGGCCTTCAGAGGGTCACCAGGAGAGAAAGCCTATGAATGACAACTTTTCTGTTCCTCTGACATGATTGGATGCTTCTAAGACCATGCCTGGGTTGCCTGGTCTCTGGAGACAGAGAGGCAGACATACACACACACACACACACACACACACACACACACACACACACACGACACAGAGACAGAGAAACAGACAGAAACACACAAAGAGAAACAGAGACAGAGAGACAAACAAGAACATACAGAGATAGATACAAACAGTGACACAGACAAACATACAGAGATACACTCGGTGACAGAGAGACAGAGCCAGACAGAGAGACAGAGCCAGAGAGACGGAGGCAGAGCGAAGAAAACCCCATTCCAAGGCCTTCTTTGGCCTTCTTTGATGTGTCTAAGGGTGACCTGTGTTTCCACAAGCATGGCACACCCAGGCAAAGGAAAATTTTACACAAACATCCCAGAGTGAGTCTTGCTTTGGGCTACCCAGAAGTTTCTCACAGCGAGGCAGGAAAATATGATCTCACCACTAAAGACCTTCAGTGTTAGCCCCACCATGGGACTGCCAAGCTGGAATTTAGAGAAAATCTGAGGTGTTGAAGAGTCACTCATTAAAGTAACCGTGTTACTAACAGTCATGCTGTAAAGCGAGCTCTTTATAGATTGAGCAATCAATACTACAAGGCTGTGATAGATTTTCTAGGTAACAGAATAAAATAAAAGAAATTGCATCTCACAGGGTCATTAACACTCAATAAGGATAAACTGAATTCTGTTTCCTCCCTCCTTCTTCAGATAAGATCTGGAGCCCGGCTTGAAAAATGTTAGCAGTTCCGTCAGAGGAACGTGTAGCATCAAATGACAGGGTCTGTGGGGTAGAGGAGAGGAGTTCCCGGATGCATCAGCCATAGCACCTTAGGGGGAAAGACACCTGGGACAGGCCAGTTCGCTTAAAGAAGCTTTCCCTTCCAAACACATACCACCTGAGAGAAATGAGAAGAAGCGAACATACACAGGTCATGTATGACCATTCTAAGAATTTACTCTGTCCCAGCCTTTTAAAGGCCTTAATTGGGGCTGCTGGCCCTCCCTCCAGATCTCTATATTCTGTTGTGAGGTGGCGTTGGGAAGTTACATATGTGTTGCGGCGTCTACAGCTCCTCTGGAGAAGAGGCACTATATAAATTCAATAAATAAATAAGTAAACACAAATAAGAAAAATCCCTGCCTCAGATTCTGCAGGGAGAGCGGAAAGTCCTCCTGCTTTTTAATCGCCAAGTCACCAATCATTTTAACTGGTGGGAAGCACAAGCCACGGAAACATATTTAGAGCTAGCCTTATGTTAATGACACCTATTTGGGAGGCAGAAAGTATAGGGAACAAAAGGAACAACAACAACAACAACAAAAAAACATTCTATTTGAATTATAGTTATTGGGATGGCTAAAAAATAAGTCACCTCCCAGATAGAAGGAGAGAAAGAGTGAGAGAGAGAGAGAGAGAGAGAGAGAGAGAGAGAGAGAGAGGGAGAGAGAGAGGAGGGAGGAGCCTGGGCGGGAATGCTAGACTTTGCCAGGAGACTGTCACTTCCTGAATGGAGTTTCATACAATGTTGCAGTTATCAACAAGGTGCCTGTATTGAGGGTGTTTCTTCCTGTGCTGGTGATGGAAGTTGGCTGAGAAAAGCCTTCTTGAGGACATGCTTGGTCAGAACCGATTTTCTGTTGGAATTTTGTATGGCGAGTAGAAAACAGCAGAAATTAGGTTTCAGGGCTGGGGAGCTGGCTCAGCCGTTAAAGGCCGAGGCGCACAGCCAAAACTTCAGAAATCAGGTTTTGGAGGACATAATGCCATGTGCTAATCATCAGGCGCTAACACCCTTGAAGCTTAAGCCTCCGGCATGCTTTCCCTTTTTTGGTACTGTGACCTCTGAGGCCCCTGGCTGTCTTCCTTCTTCTCAGGAAGAAGCCGGATATTTGCAATCCAGAGCCCTTCACTAAACCTCAAAGTCACTTCCTGCAGGGGAGGGAAATATGACTGATTCAGTGAGAAAAAAGTACTTGTCCAGCAAGCACGAAGACTAAGTTTTAATTATCAGAGTCCATCTAGGAGTCAGGCAAGGTTACACATGTGTGTAATCCCAGCTTTTCCATGGCAAGATGAGAGACTAAAGAATCCTGGTAGCAGGTCGTGGGCCAGCAGGCCAGGTAACCACTGCACTGGCAAAACAACAAAGGCACTCCGCCCGTGCCAAAGTAGAAGGCAGAGACCCAAGACCAACACCAGAAGTTGTCCTCTGACCTCTGCCCCTTCCCCTCCTCTGCTCTCCCCTCCCACATTCATTTCCTGCAGAGACTGAAAACAGAAAAGAGGCTTTGGTGAATGACTACAAGTGAGAATAAAAGTCAGAAGCAAAGGAGAGAGGCAAGAGGACACTGAGAAACGGGGCCAGAGAAACCGAGAGCAGGGAGGGAAACGGGGAAAACGCTCCTAAGCTAGAGATTTTCGTAGACACAGGGGGGTTAAAAATCTCCTATTTAAATCAGTCCAGAATCCAACTCTGCTGATGGAATGAATGTCCTTGAGGTGGCCCAAGCAACGTGCAGAGGGAGTAAGCCCTTGGGCCTCTTAAGGAGACTCCCAGGGGCACATGACCTTAGGAGGGATGGGCTGGCTAACAGCCTGAAGCACGGCTAACAGTCTGGGATGCATAGGATGTAATTTCGTATTCAACAAACCTGTTACATATTCATTTCCCAATGTGCCTGGAATCAAACCAGCCCATCAGAGGTCAGCGTTCCTCCCTGTCCTTCTATCCTTCACCCTGGGGCTCACTTTTCAGATCTGACACATTTCCATTCCCCTCTCAACTTGCAATCTCCAGGCCTCTCGGAGAGGAGACATTTCCATTCTTCCCATTCTCAATCCTCTGATCTCTTAGAGATGAGGCAATTCTATTTTCACTGCACTGATTTAAGAAACACTGATAGGGGAAAAAAAAAAATATCTGCTTCGGCTTCCCACCTTCTGAAGACAAATCTCGGCCGTGCTAGGACATCGATTAACGTGATTGGGTGCCTGCTTTTAAAGTTAAGGCACTTCTCTATCCAGTCACTCTATTTTGGGCTTTTGGGGGTCACGTGCCGGGGCTCTCTATTCACTAGAGAGTCCAGGAACAGTAGCGCTTTCTCAAGCCGGAAGCTCCATTGCCCCGCCCAGTGCTGTGCAACCGTGTCGTTTACCTCCATGACTGCCTCGGGCATCCTCTTCAAGTTCACGGTCTTCATCTGAGGGGACAAATGATCATCATTAGCCATCAGTGTGTGTGTGTGTGTGTGTGTGTGTGTGTGTGTGGGAGGGGGTTGGTCTTCATGCTCTTTCTTTTGAGGGGTCACCTTTCTCTGAGCTCACTGACCTCCTCTTCTTTCTTGGGTTGCTAAGCAGGGTCTTGCTAACGGAACCCAGCCTGGCTTTGAACTCATGATCCCGTTACCCTAGTCTCTCAAGAGCTGGGATTACAGGCACATGTTATCCTGTCTAGTTAGGGAACTCTCTCCTTCAAGGGCTGTTTAATTAACACATTTTCTTGTTTTTTCCCCCTTTCAATTGTCTCTCACCTGCAAACCCTCTCCTTGCCTTTCTAGTCACCATTCATTTTCAAACACTATGAAGTACATTCTATGTACAAGAGGCTACACTAGGAACAGGGGACACAACAACAGACCAGTGTGCTAAAGTTCCAGCCTTGGTGAAGCTTCAAATCTATTGATTCACCAAAGGGCTTATCATTAGAGCCGACTCTTTTCCTCAATTCTTATTTCTTTTTCCTTTGTGGATTTCTTGCTTGTATTTCTTATCTGCAATGCTGGCATCTTCTTTGGTTTTAGTCACCCCAGAGTTAGTGTGTGTGTGTTGATTGGAAGTGGGTTTTAAACCTTCTGTGATTAATTAGTCTTTAACGTAGTCGTTTTTGTTCAGCTGTATGGGAGGCTGGTCATGTACATAGTTTTATGTTCCTAGTACTTGAGGCCTGTAGTTATTTTTTTTTTTTTTTTTTTTACTGTTTTTATTCAGCCTGCCTTGTTCATTAGAGTATAGGCTCCTGAGGGCAGATGGAATGGTCTTTTAATTAATTGCCGTGGATTCACAATGGGTTCTAAGTCAATGCTAGTGTCTAACTCCAGTCAAGTGTTTATATGGCCAAAGTCACAACGTGATTGGTGCAAGTTTCTTACCCTCATTAACCTGTTTCATCTCAGGCTTTGTACTACTTGATACAAAAGGAACTGGATGTTTATAAAGAGTGCATGTGCATTAGAGTCGCATTTAAAATTTCCATTTTTTTTTGTAATACAGAATTATAATCTATATATACAGATATGGGGGGAGAAGTAGGTTCGTTATTCTTTTTCATCACCCATCCCCTCTTCTCTTATTCTATCACACACACACACACACACACACACACACACACACACAGTCAGATGGACAGTCAGACAGAGAGACAGACAGACAGACAGACACACAGAGGATAGGACACAGTAAGCAATGCTTTGAGGGCTGACTACTCAGCTTTTCCTGGGCATATCTTACTTCCTCTTTTTTCACACACTTGTCTTACATCTCCACAATTGCACCATTAAATGGAATCTTTGAGGAGATGGCCAGGGAACATTCTCCTTCTAACCTTTGTAAAAATGTCAGATTTGACAAAGTAAATTCTAAGATCAAAAGAAAGAAGAAACAGCACAAAATATATTAGGCCACCACGGACCGTTAAAAATACCTGACTTTAGCCAGGGGTGGTAACACTGAGAGGCAGAGGCAGGAGGATCACTGTGAGTTTGAGGCTAGCCTGGTCTACAAAGTGAGTCCAGGACAGCCAAAGCCACACAGAGAAATTCTCTCTTGGAAAACCAACCAACCAACCAACCAACCAACCAACCAACCAACCAACCAACCAACCAATCAACCAACCAACCAACCAACCAACCAAACAAACAAACAAATAAAAAACAAAAAAACTAACACCACACCAAACCAAACCAAACCAAACCAAACCAAACCAAACCAAACCAAACCAAACCAAACCAAAACCCAACAAAAACCCTCCACCCCTGAATTTAGAACGGGTGTGGTAGACCACATCTTTAATCCCAGCACTTAGGAGGCAGAGGCAGGTAGATTTCAATGAGTCCAAAGTCAGCCTGGGCTTACAAGTAAGACTGTCACAAACAAACAAACAAACAAACAAACAAACACAAACTACTGCTTGGCTGCTTGGCTCTTTGTTTATAAAGTATGATACTGTTTCTCAGAAAAATAAAAATTAAGAGTTTAGTATTCTGGAGAAGTAACTCACCTGTGACTAAGATTAAAGATACAGACACACACACACACACACACACACACACACACACACACACACATACAGGCACACACACATGCTTACATGCTTGCCCTATAATCCTGAGGAAAAGGAACACTTTGAAGGAATCTTTTAAAAATAGTTGATTATTTTATGTGTATGACTATCTCAGATGTACATATGTATGTGCGCCACATGTGTGCCTGGTACCCTCGGAAGAGGATGTTAGATCCCCTTGGATTGTAGTTACAGACATTTGTGAGCTGCCATGTGGGTACTGGGAATTGAACCCTGGTCCCTGGAGAAGCCGCCAATGCTCCTAACTGCTGAGCCCAACTCTCTAGCCCTTTGAAGGATTCTTATTTTCTTGTAAGGTCCAGCAGCAGGGACTTTCTCCCTCATTCAGCTGTAGTGATCCCGACCCTACCTCAAGGAACGAAGATGCGAGGTGATGGAGGAGTGAAATCAAATGTAGGGAACAGGGCACATGGGAACAAATCATAGTAAGCATCACTCTTTCCACACTGTCTTTTCATTACTAGCCTCTCCCCCCCTTCTTCTGCTGCGATGCTTTCCCTTTCCGCCGTGGGGCTGACCATTACAGAGCATGAGTTGGTGCACCCTCTTGGCAGAGACGCCCAAGAGTTTGGACAGCAAAGCGGCTCTTTTCCTGGTCTCAAACAGCTCCGTCACATGGACCAATAAAGCCCCGCGCTTAGGCTCTTTTTGCAGAAAGCGTTTCTTCTACCTCTGCTGTCCGCGCGCGCAGCTGTCTCTCTCTCCCAATTCTAATCAATGTAAATTGGGTCAGATCTCCGCTGTGAATTACAAATTGGATCCGAAGTTGGGGGGTCACCGTGCCTGCTGCTCCACCTCCTTCCCACTGCCATTAGATGGGAAGCTGCACCAAAGATCTTTTCTAAATAAATCAGACTTTATTGTAAAACTCGGCCACTGACGAGACATAACCTCATTAGCATTGATTTTAAAATAAATTATTGAAAGTGGCCCTGCCTGCTCTTTGCATTTGTGAAACAGGGGAATGTAAATGTATTTGCAATGATAAAAATGAAAACTAAACCTTGATTCCTTTATCCTTTCAGGCAATAGCACTTAATCTAGTCATGATAAAAAAAAAAAAAAAAAAAAAAAAAGTATGCTCTGTTCACTTCACTCCCAGAACAGATTCTCTGATTTCCGTTGCAGCTTTGGAGTCACCTAGAAAGAAAAATGCTGGCCATTAAGCATGGTGTATTATTTGCCACCGTTTCCAGGCCCTACGGTGATGGATGTGAACGGGAAGCTCCTGTCCCCACTTCTGCTGTGTCTTCCTTGTCCTCTGGCGGCTCCAGTTAGGACGCCTTCCTGTTGCTGGGTGTGGGCTATGTCTCAGGGTCTCTGCAGGGCTGAGGGTGGGGTCCCATCACACAGCAGAGGACTGAGGACAGGATGGAGGACTGAGGAGGGGGTCCCATCACACAGCGGAGGACTGAGGATGGGATGGAGGCCTGAGGGTGGGGTCCTGGCACACAGTGGAGGATTGAGGGTCCTGGTACACAGTGGAGAAAGCCCCTTCTACAGCTGGTTACAGCTACGGCTAGTAGCTTCTACAGCACAGCTCTTGGCACTTTCTTAGCTACTGAGGGTTTGGTATAATTGATCACAGACCCTTCTGTGAAACTAGACTCGTATCTCTCAAGGTCCAAAGTCCAAGGTCCAAGCCAATTATATCGTAACTGGGATTTTTTTTTTTAAAGGCATTTTTTCTTAAAAAGAGAGCTGGGCTAGGGAGTTAAATTTCATATTTTTGCTACTTTGCACAAATGGGCTTTAGTGTTACCCATACATTTTAGGGTGTGAGTCTGTGTGCTCAGATGCATCAAGGTATGTGTGGTGGTGAGAGGGTAACTTGGGAAAGATGTTTCTCTCCTTCCACCATGGGGGACATATGGCTTGATGACAAATATCTTTACCTACCGAGGCATCTTGTTGGCCTGAGATTTTTGTTTTAAAAGACCATTTTGAAAAAAAAAATATATATATGTATATATATATTTAGGTTAAAGAGCTCATTGAACTTCTTTATAAGAATATTATTAGGCATTTTAGCATTATGTCTATGGAAATACATCTTCATTTGAGAGTGAATTAAAATTTATGTGCTAGCTCAACTTTAAACAGTAATAGATTATAATGGTCCTTGCTCCTAACGGGGCATATGGGACCCCAATCTTACACAGGCTTTAAACAAATTAACCTCTGAAGATTACTGCCCACTTATTACATTAAATGCTCTACTTGATTCCCAAATATCTCATCTCGATTGGGAAAACAGTTGAAGAAGATTCTGTTAACCGTGTGGACATGTGAGGGAACCACAGGGCATCACAAATGAGCATCCGTATCCGGAGAGTCGATTTCAATCAACATTCTTGGCACGGTGTCAGGGACACTAATGAGAGGCTGAGAGGAACAGGACACTGAATCCACCGAGGAGGGACAGAGGGGTGCCGGCTGCTCTGACACCCGAGTCCTTCCTGAGGTGTGGCTCTGGCACCCACCCCTTGACGTCGTCTAAACTGGTACCAGAAAGAATAATAGGGGAGAGACGATTCCATCAAAGAGAGGGAAAAGCATTTCCCCTAAGCGAGGAAGTGACAACAGCTTTAAAAGATGCCGAGCGTGTTAATGTGCAGCCAGATGTCAGGGTGCTCTGGTGACAGGTGCAGGAGAAAGACGGGGAAACTTGATGTGCAAAGGGAACGTCCAGAAGAATAGAAATGAGCCACTCCCTGGCATGCCCAGGTGAGCTACAGGCCCCTGCAACTCTCCAGACAACGATAGAATGTTTGAGCAAGAGGCTAAGAACTCACTTATCCTCTGCTGTGTAATTTCAACTGTCACCTCTCAATCTGTCCA